GTGTGTGTGTGTGTGTGTGTGTGTGTGTGTGTGTGTGTGTGTGTGTGGCAGTTTGTCTGTAGAGAATCTTAAATCAGGTCTTTCCTGACTTGGGCCAGTCTTAAAAAGTGGTCATGGTTCCATTGGTTTCACATTAAACAGGAAGTTGTACTGCTAGCTGCTGCTGCCTCTATGTAAGCTAACAGGTATCCACAGAGTTGCATCTGTTTGTCTGTGATGTGTGACAGTGTTTACTTTTACATCATCCTATCCAAAGGCTGCTGATAACAGGTTGGAGTATTTGCAGAACTAAACATTAATAAAGGATATTTTTCATGGCGTTCTAAAGGAAACTAGTTGTTCTTTAACCTGTCACCCAAAACAAATAGCCTGACTGCACAACCTGGGTCAGCTGTTTGTCCACACTGTATGTACATAATAGTTAATGTGCTTTTAACCCTAAGTTAGTATTCTGTTCAGTGACCAGCATCTGAAGCAGTGACTGGTTGTGGTTTGCTAGATGACAGTCTGCAGTTCTGTAGATGTGTTTTTGGAGGTATTTAAAGAGCCAACATGACGATTTTCAAGGTAATCCAGGCTTTATACCATTTATGTCATGATTAGCCCTCATTATCTCACTCATATCTTGAGTTGTGGACTACTTTGTTTACACTTGTTGCCTTCTTTTACTAAACTCAATCAATGTTTGCTGTTTATTTATTCATTTCACTGAGTCTTTTGCACAGAACTTGTCTTGTGTGGTCTGAAGTCTTCATAAAGCATGCAGCCCTTGAAGACTGGTGTCATGCATGTTGTAAACCTGCTGAAAGATAACCCCTTTTCTGTGCAGGTTGTTCCCTTTTCACTTGGTTTGATGCCATCAAGTTTAATCTTTCTGAATGCATGCCAGCTGCACCTCTCACTGAAAAGACTATCTGGTTGGCTTTAAGACCGTTCCTAACCATGTTCCCTCTCACTGTGCAGCTTATCACTGGGACACATCAGACTGGATGCCGAGCACGAGGCTGTCAGACACCGAGGAAGAGCCAAACTACGAGGCAGCTCCTGGCTCTGACCCGGCCGGCTTGGCCCCCGGTCCTGGAGCAGCCACCAATGAACTGGAATCAGACTACTACCTCGGAGGCTATGACGTGGACAGCGACTATCCTCCTCCTCAAGAAGAATTTCTAAGCCACGACCAGGTACCGCCTCCGCTGCCCACAGGCGAGGAATATCCAGAACCCTATACACCACTACTCGCCAGTCTGCCAGCATCCAAGGACCAGAACTCCAGCAGTGCAAGGAACCAGCATGCCAGGCCACACTTCCACCTGAGCCAGTACCTCCCCTCCCATCAGATACCCACTGGGGAGGTGCCCCATGGGGACTTTAGCACTTCCGGGGGTCAGGTATCACCAGGACTTGGTGATCTCACTGACTCTGTCTCACTAAATATGCACCAATCAGTCAGGACATCGTCTGCTTCGGACACGTCAGCTCCTTGTGGGCTGGACTCTGAACACGACAGCAGTTTGGAAAGTATAAATGGACTTCGAAGAGGGGTAACCATCATCACCGACTCACAGCAGCAAACTGAAGTGTGATGTTTTAACCAGGTGTTTCCACGAAAGCCACAGGAGCATGTCGGTGCACCTGCCCTCTATGATTAAACAACAACGTACTGTCCTCACATTCTTATCCCCAAACCTGTTTCTGGAGACCCTTCAGGAAAGGCCCAATTCTTTGAAGTGGGGTTCTGTGGAAAGCAGAGCTTAGCTAACCCTAATGTGTCGATTTTAAGGAGGAGATAATAAAGTTTGATCAGTTTGTGACAGAAGGAGCTGATCAGACGTCAAGGACAGGTGGAGGTGTTGACCTGAAGCAGTGGTGGGCACCAGCCCGCTAAAGAGCAAATCCACTAATTGCGGACCTAAATATTTTGTTTGCACTTTAGCGGTCTTACTAATTTTTATAATTCGTAAGCGGATTTGTGCTTTCTAAAATTAAAATGCAGTACCGCTAATAACTAATAATCTACCAGTCATCATTATCTTGAACAGCGGAAGGTATGGCTGTCAATGAATCACAACACACGATCTGTCCAACAACACCCCTCCCAGATAAACACTCTTATTGTGAAGGTATACATCCTTGCTGACTGTTGCTTTCGGTCACAGTTCTGATTTCCCACAATGCTTTGTGTCTGCTTACGAAGCAGGAAGGCAATGTTGAGAACTCCCTGTCCCAGCAAAAACAGTAAATGTTTGTAATCCATACTAAAATTTTATATGTATTGATTTATTTTACTTTACAATCGGAGCTCCTTTTTTAAAAAAAAATTACGTTTAAACGCTGGAGCTCAATACTTGACGTAATTGGTCGAAGCAATCGGCCAACGGGGTTAGGGACGCGGAAATTGTTTAAAGATGTTATGCTGATGAAAACTGACATCTAGTGGTCAACTGGAGCAACTACATGGAAAACCTTAAAATCCGACCATGCTCTTATTTTGAAGGGAAGATAGTTTTCTGTACTCCATGCTTTTGTTTCCCGTCACAAATCAAATTCGTCATGTACCCAGAATGCATCGCTTCAGTTTTCCAATAAACAGTTTTAAAATTACTTTATTGATGCTTCTTTAATGGAAAATCTAAAACAAACAAAAGAAAACGACAAAGAAGCAGCCAAACTAGAAATCCTCAATAACTTTTTAAAGAATTGGCCGAACTAGCAATCCTCAACAACTTTTCAATTTTTTACACCAGGAGCCAAAGTTCTGTTTTAGGAAATCACATCCCCAGCAATCAGCAATTGTAGAATTAAGCTGTAAAAGGGTTCATACACCACTAGTTGGCAGTATTGTGTATATATTGGACATGAATTATTGCCAGCTAGTAAGTGTCAAATTGAACTTGCGCTTTAAAATTAGCTTCCTCTAGTTTTACTATGGCATAAGCGCTTTTGAAGTTGGGGACCTAAATATTTTCATAAGCGCTGTAGAAATTGCGGAGCTAAATTTTGGATTGGTGCTGCCCACCACTGACCTGAAGACTCTTCTCCTCCACTCATCTGTTTCAGTTTGAGTAGCTTTTATATGTCTTGTTCTAAAAACACACAAAGAGTTTCACTCTAATGTCCTGACAGATTGCACAAAACAAACAGGTCTCATCAGAGCTACAGTCCAGTGAGTTCAGGTTATCCACATCAGCTGGTTTGAAGCTGGTTGAATTTTTAATGAAGGTGTATTTGTACATGTTTGATGGGCTGTGGTAAAATGATTTTATAGAAAAAAATTATAATATGAAAGAAGACTTAAGAAAGACTTTAGGCATTTTATGTAAAAAAAACTTTAAATCTGGTTGTTTCAGCTGGTAAATACGATATATTAAAGTTTGAATAAGCTGACATTAGACATTTGGCTTTTTTAAATTATTTTTGAGGTTGGGTCATGACCAGGTTTTATTTGTAAATGACTGACAGCCCTTATTGAGAAGCCCCGCCCTCAAGTCTGAAGAGACTGATGAGAAACCAGACAGGATGTTCAGAATGTTCAGCACATATTTCCATCTCGGTAGTTTTCTCAAAAATATTCCTAAAATGCAGGTTATGAACAGTCACCGTCTTACATGTTATAGATCAGTGATTCCCAACCAGGGGTACGTGTACCCCAAGTGGTACGCAAGCATATTACAGGGGGTACGTGGAAAAATTTCCCAGGTGTGTAAAAAAATAAATAAAAACAGGACTGAGATACTGAATGTAGGGCCCTGTGATTTCTGCAATGCAGAAAAAGCAAACAGAATCACAGAAGTGACACAACATGGAATCCTGTATAAAACTTGGAATTTCACGGAATTTACTAATTTGGGGTATTTGATGTATTTTGGACGCTGCTGTTTCCTGCACCTGCCATTAACTGGTTTATTTATTTAATTACTTATTCACATTCAAGGCATCATTTTTATCTATATGTTTAATTTGAGTTGAAAAGAATAAAATGCCTGAGAATTAAATGTTCTAGGGCAGGGGTTCTTAACCTTTTTGACCTCAGGGCCCAATTTGTTCAACACAAAGTAACACGAGGCCCAGTCACCCATTAACTGAAGTCATTCAAAGAGCTACCGTATCTGCAACAGGTAAGATCCTGATTGCTCATAATGCTTGAATAGAATCCACTTAAAAAACTGAACTACCACTTTAAGACGAGCAAAAAGTGAACATGTTAGAGATTTTTATGTTGTCCCAACTTCACCCTGTGTGAACGTGTCATAAACTCCTGTTCTCAGAACCAGGTCAAAGGTTAGGGTTAATAACTACTGATGATTGTGTTATAACACTGATTATCGTGTTATAACACTGATTATCGTGTTATAACACTGATTATCGTGTTATAACACTNACACACACACACACACATGGCCCCCCTGAAAAAAAATGTCTGTAGGCACCGCTGGTCTCATGACTTTGTCAGGTTGTTCTCATGAGCTTATGGTGTATCTGGGAGGTTTCTGGGCCTCCAGCATTAATTTCAGCCTTGCTGTGAAGGAGGAAACACCATCAGCAGCATCAGAGGGTGCAGATGAAGTGGCTTCCTGTGCAGAAATCTTCCTTCTCTGTCTTTATGAGAAGAAAGGCTTTTTGGTTTGAGTTCAGAAGTGAATAAAGGGCAGCTGAACATGGTGTTTAAGAATATTGATATAACTTATCTGGCGTGTATGGAGGTCATAGCCTAAGCATGCCCAGTCCTATTTTAAAATGTTCTTAACTGGACAACAGGTTACAGTTTTTATTGATTTTTTTTGATGCAGCGGTCAACTCAAAATCCACGTTTTCAAAACAGTTAATGCAGACTGCACCTGTTTGACACTTCTTCACAGAATTTTTCAATTTGCAATCAGCCTGCAGGCTGATTGCAAATTGAAAAATTCTGTGAAGAAGTGTCATACAGGTGCTTTCAGTGTTTCATACTGATCAGGGAGTTTCTTAGAGCTTGGAGCATATGATTTCTGTTCTGTAACCACAGCTAAAATGAAGTTTGGACTTCTTGATTGACATCTGCGTTAATTGTTTTGCACAAGGGTGGGAAACTGTGTCAATCCAATGAGAATGGGTTAACACATTTACAGGAGGTGTCTTCTGCTCTGCTGAGATGGTGATGATAAAGACTGAGAGGTTCCCAGTTTCTTCAAACAAATTCAAAGCAATCTTAAAAACTGTAACAAGCTTTTTAACCAGAACTCTTTTAAAACCACAGAAACCTTTGAACACATAATAACATAATTTCTATGTGGACACTATTGATGTTTAAAATGTTTAATTCATTTCACTGTGATCAATAAAATAACTAAAGATGAGATTGATTGTGCTACTTGGAAAGTGAACTTGGAACAGATAACGAGAGAACACACAGAACTGATGATAAGAGTGTTCCTGTGAAGCGAAGGGTTTAAGTTCAAATGTATCAGCTCAAAATACTCGAAGAAGCATTTTAAAAATCATTAAGTGGTGGTACGTCAGCAGTAAATATACATGAAGATGACACACTGAGAGAACTTTGTTCTCCTGCAGTCCAGTTCAACAAGGAGGTTCACATCAGATCAAAGTGAAAGTTCAGAGCATTGTTTATGTCAGCTGTGAGTCTGAAGTCTGGAGTCTATTTACAGTTAGTCAGGTGTGTGTGTGTGTGTGTGTGTG